TCATATTTGCAATAGAGTAACTTCAGGAATCATGCAGTATTGGGTCTTCAGGATAGAGAAGATGTAGGGGTGAGGGTGAAGGGGTCTGAGGTGGAGGTATGTTAGGTTGAGAAAAGGCTTTGAGAGGAGGAAACTACTTAGAAGGTTTAGAAATGATAGAGGAATTAGGAGTCAAACGTTGAAGGACCTTGAAAGCCATGCTGAGGAATTTGCATTTAATCCTGACAGTTATGGGGAATAGGCCAGTGGCAAGTCCACATTTCAGCCATCATGTGCAGGATAGATTGGAGGGAGTAAAAGTAGAGCCTGGGACACTAGTTCAGGGGTCCCTCCAAGAGTATTGTGAATGAGACAAAAGTTTGGGCCAAAGAAGTGGTAGTGAGAATGGATAGAAGGAGAGAGATTCCAGATTCCATCTGGGCATGAGAACCAAGGAAGAGGAATTGCTTAGCTTAGCAGTTCTCAGCCCTGACTGTGCTTTAGAATTAAGTATCGTGCTTAAAAAAAATACAGATTTTCAAGCCTTGGAAATTTTGATTTAGCAAGTCTGGGATAGAGCCAGACAAGGAACCATAGTAAAGAGTGAACCAGTTGGGCAGCTGCCTGGGTTACAAATTTATAAGGAAACCTAAAACATCATTAGGGCAAATTGGAAATCTGACCCCTTAGTACTGGAGAAGGGAAAGATAGACTTACTCCTGATGAAGTAGGAAGGGCCCTCCAGTAGAAATAGTAAAATATTCCCCACTAGCGCCAACCTGTCTCAGCTGAATGTTTACTACTTGCAAAATCCACTGTGTAATCCGAGGCCCTACCAGCACCCTGGGAGCAGCCAACTGCCAAGCAACTTAAATTCTGAAAGAAAGTAATACAGGAGTGCTATTTTCTAGAGAGGAGGAGTTTATTGGTTATCTAAATTTAAAAACTCTTTTAACATAGCATCCAACAAGTGTCTAGCTCAGAAAAAAAAATCACAAGATAAAACTGAAGGGGGATGAAGTATGTAGTCTTAAATACAGCAGTCAGGGAAGGCTTCACTGAGGGGGTGACACTTGAGTAAAGACCTGAAGGAGATGAAGGAGCAAATACAGGGCATTTCAGTCAGAGGGAATAGTAAGTGCAAAGACCCTGAGGTGATATAGTGCCTGGAGTATGCAAGAAACAATAAGGAGGAGAGTGTCTCCTGGAACATAGGCAGTAAGAGAGTGCAGGTGGTGATGATAGACAAGCAGAGTGTGGAAGGACTTGTGAGGCTCCTGTAAGATTTGGGCTTTTTTACTCTGAGCCTCTGGGAGGTTCTGAGCAAAGGAGTGACAAAATCTGATTTGTGGTTATTCTCAAGCAACTCTTCTCAAAAGTAATTTTATCCATGTGATTAAGATGGATTAAGTTATGCTATTGGGACAATTTTTGAATCTTGATGGTTAAACACACAAATTTATTTCTCATTCACTCTCATATCCAATGAGGTCTTGTGGAGGCTGTGCTCATCATAGTCCCCAGAGACCCAGGCTGATGGAGACTCCATCTTGACATAAGCTTTTCAGTCAATGAATAAGAGAAGGAGCATGACCAATCATGCACTGGCTTTTATAGCTTCCACCCAAAAGTGATGGCACTTCTACTTAACATCTCATCGGCCAAAGCTGGTAACATACACACCAAACTTCAAAGGGCAGGGAGACATACATCCTACTCATTGTCTGAAAGACGGGGTGCTAGATGTTTGTGAATAGCTCTAGCAGCTACCATAACCCAGCTTCTTAGAAACACAGCCTTACAAAATCTCCCTTTCATTAGAGAGCTCTGCATGACAAAGAGTTCTATTGGTACATACACATGGGTACAGTGTGTGTGTGTGTGTGTGTGTGTGTGGAAAGAAACATTTCAATTCCTATTTCTGCTCTATTAATCTCACCCCTTCAAAATTTGTTGTTGTTGTTATTGCACACTTTATAATAGGTAGAAAATAAGGTAGTACACTTAAGTAACTTGTAAATATGTCATGCACATATTGGAGAATATACTCAAAAACTTATTGCTACTGAATAATTTAAAAAGTTTGGAGCCTGCTAGGATAGATTATGAGTCCTTTGAGGCTAGAGACAGGATGTGCTCATTTTTGTTTCATGTAGCTTTTTATTGAAGTTTAAAATACATACAGAAAGGTGCACATATCCTAAGTATTACAGCTTGATTTATTTTCATCTGTAATTGGTACTCAAATTAGTAGCAAGATTGACAAACAAAACACGAGCAGCACCACAAAAGCCCTCTTTGAATCTTCTTCCCAGTCATGACTTTCCCCTGGGTAACCACTCACCTGACTCCTAACAGAAGAAATCAGCATTGCCTGTTTGTGCACTGCATATAAATGAAAGCATTTGTAGGCCTATTTTTGTGGCTGGCTTCTCTCCCTCCGCAGAATGTTTGTGTGTGGCTGTAGTTCATGGATTGCCATTGCTGTAAAACACTATATTGTGTGGATACACCACAATCTACTTATTGTTTCTCCTATTGATGAATATTTGGGTTGTTTCTTGTTTGTGACCATTGCAAATAATTTGCTGCTAATGACCTTTCTTGTACCTACATGGCTTTTGATGCACATATGTAGGCATTTCTGTTGGGTCAAGGTCTAGGATCTGCTGGGTCGCAGGGCACATGTATATTTAGTTTTAGTAGATAGCCAGACAGTTTTTTAAGGCAGTGCTACCTCTTACTTGTTCTTGACATTAACACCAATCACAGAGTGTGGGGCAAAAAATGCACGGAGAGTAAGGAAGCAGGGGGACAGGGGACAAAAAGGTGCATGTCAAAGATTGTTGGCATGCAGACCTGTTGAGTCACGGAGCCACAGCCGTGGTCATGGCCCTATGCAGGAGGATGTTATCAGGGAAGTCAATGATTACCTCGAAGATAATGTGGACCAGTGGTCTGAAATGTAGCACTGCAGAGCTGGAAGAAGGGGGAGTTGCCTTCTCTAGGCAGGACTCTGCGAAGGGCAGGTGGAGTCATTTCAGATCCAGGTGTGTCCTCAGTTCGGCAGTTCCAGAACTCAGTTTTATCTGCTTACCCAGCTGTGGCCATTCCTGGAATACTGACTGTTCGCATTCAGTCTGGGTTACAAAGGTGGCAGTTGTTCGCTTACAGATGGAGTTCCTACACTCACCATCTCGCATCTCCTTAGCTGAGCAGAGTCTCAGGTGAACAAAATGATGCAGAGCTTGGGAGTCTGGCTTCAGAATGCAGGATTTTGACTCTCTGTTCTTAGGTTGACAATTCACCTGGCTGGGCCAGGTCCTGGAGCAGCTTCTCCCAAGTGTGTCCCATGAGTCCTCAGAAAAAGAGGTTAGCATCCAGTAAATGTGGAAAAAACTGGGCACTTTCCAACTTTCTCAGGAAATCTCAATGCACATTAGCATTGACGTTTCTGACTAGTCCTACTGCTAAAAAAAGAGAGAGAGGGAGAGAGTCTGTTTACCTGTGTTCAGTATTCTCAAATTTGGCCAACAGAATCCCTGCCTCTTAAATTGTTTTTATACATAACAGATAAATTCTGCAGAATACCACAAAACCCTTTGAAAACATTAATTAAAAAAAAAAATGTCTGCTCCACTCTCCAGTGTTGTGTTTTTTAAACTATACTTATTCATGGATATTATTGAAATAAATTTAATGATGTGAGACCACCATTACAAGTAATTAAAATGGAATAGAATAGAAAATACCAGAGTGCATCACATGTAATAATGTTTTATAAAACTTGGTTTTAGGGACATTTAGACATATATGTTTGTGTAAAGGGTCACGGCATAGAGTGTACATCTTATGTGGGTCGCAGTCAGAAAAGGAGACTCCAAAGACCACACTGTTTCCTCAGATGTCTGAGTGAGACAGTTTGCAGGATCCACTCCCCACCCCACCCTGCCCCGTCCTTACTATCTGGCTTTAGGAAAGTCACTTCAACTCCCTATTCCTCAGTTTCCTAATTTGTAAAATGGTGATAATAAATGTTCTCTCTTAGGATTGTTTGTAATGATGAAACGAAATAACCTATGGAAAGCATCCAGAACATAATAAGGACTGAAGAAATACTTTCTCTTCCATCTGTCTCCCCATCCCCATCCACAGTTTAAGGAGACCTCCGAATATTTGTTCTCCTTTAGAAATACTGTCATCAGTGACAGCCTCAAAGCATTCTGTAGCTGGTGACCCCTGGGAAGATGGCTTCTGGCCATCTAGTGATGACTCTTGTTAATTTCAACCTCAGAGGGTAATTTTTCAGCCTGGTTCCCAGATTCTCTCAGGGCACCCTACTGCTGACTCTGTCCTCACCCCTACCTTCATGCCTATAGGCTCTTAAGAATCCTGAGGTCCAAACACTGGACTACTTAGGGACATAGGTCTCAAAGACATACAGGCACTGGATGAACGTGACTCAGCTGTTAAATGTCACTCAGCTATTAACAGAGGGGCTAGCCCCCAATTCCAGGACTATGGACTCCAAGCCCAGCCTTCTCTCCAGCAAGGAGCATGCAGATCCTTAGGTCCTGCCTCGACTGTGTCATAGCCTATTATAGGTGACCCAGGGGACACAAACACTCACTCTATGCATCCATAGCAGAGGGGTCGGTATCAGCCACTTACTCCAGCGACTTAAACACTGGTTAATTCTCAAGGGGGGAAAAATGTCCATTGTGATTGACCTTAAGTGGTAAAAGGATTTTCCTACCGTATTTCCTTCCAAACCGCCCCTGGAGACTGAGCCCAAATAAGGTTACGAGATGCCAGTGAAAGACTTCTCTTTCTGTGGCTTTGCTTGGGAGAGCAACAGTTTTGGCGAACCTCAGCGGGCGGGTCAGGCCCCTCCTTCTCCCTCTCCGTCCCTCCTTCCGCCCATGACTGCCCAGGGCTCACGGAACACCCTCACACCTTGGAGGCGGGATCGGGGCGATCTGCCCAGACCCTGCTCGGCGCTTGCCGCCCAGCCTCAGATCATCACCCGGCGGGCTGGCCCCATTCCTTCCTAGCACCTGGGCCCCTGCTTCAGGCGGCTGTGGCCGCCTGAGCCCGGGGCAGGGCTTTTATTGTGAAAGGAGCTCCCCCCTCCTTCGCTTTCGGGGAAGTGGGGAGGTTGGGCTGGGACGCGCAGCCGGGACTTCGCAAACTCTGCAAACATCCCTGGCTGGTCGCGGAGGCTCGCGGCTGCGGGAAGGCTCCTGCAGAACCGCAGATCCTCAGACGCGCAGATCCCCCGTGGGCTGGAGATCCCAGACCTCCTCTAACAACCCCACCTGCAGAGCATCCCTGAGCGCATCGCACACGCAGGAATTGTGGGGCCACTTGGCCGCTGGGAACCTGTGGACCTTCGGTCCGGGAAACCCGAGTCCAGGGAAGACTTGGAGATTCACGGAGCAAGGGGCGGCCCCCGGGGCGGTGGGATGAGCTGGAGAGCCGGCTGAGATCGCCGAGGAGCGGGTCCAGCCACCACAGGGGACATGGTAGGAATCTCGAGGGGGAACGCTCGGGTGGGCGGATAGGGCGGGCACCCAGGCAGGTGGCCGCGGACAGTGCGCGCAGCTTTGGGTGCGCGGAGCCTGCACGGCCTCCGGGAGCCGGAATTGTTCTGGAAGGTTGCTTGGGGGCTGCAGCGGCTTTTATTTCTGCACCTAGGACGAAGTGTGGGGCGCCGGCGAGGGGTGGGCAATCAGCTTTGCCGCTTCCCTTGGTGGGGATGACCAAGGGCGCTTTCATTACGGACCCGTACACCCTGGCTGAACCTTAATCCACGTAGAAATAAATCGGGTCTGGTAAAGGTCCAGTGCCTGGCTCCATCTCCTGGACCGTCGGGCAGGTGTGGGCGCGCTGGTTGGTCTGGGATGTTATTCAGGAAGTTGGAGAACTTGTGGACCGTTGCCTTTCCTTTGATAAAACTCAAAGACAGCAACACTCAGGAAAGATAGACCCTTTGAGCATGAACCAGGCTACATGTGTAGCCGCAGGAAAGGGGCTTCTCTCAGGACTGGTTGCTGATGAGCTCTGCTTTCAGGTAGAAGCTACCTGCAGCCCCCACCCACTGTTCCTACAGTTCACTGTACTACAGTTCACACTACTACTAGTGGGGGAAGGGTGTCAGACACCAGAATGAGTCTGAACTCGGAAGAAACCCACAGGGCTCTTCCATCTGCTTCCGTGACCCCCTCCCTCTCCCCACTCTTAAGCTCACAGAGGCCAGATTGGGGCTCACTGGAGATACTTCTCTGGGATCTTAGCTGTGGGCCTCGAGTCTAGAAGGGTGCCTAGAGTTTCTCCTATAGGATGGAGGGTCTCTGCGAGAACAGTTCCTTGGGTGCAAAGGTGTTAGTTCTGGCCTTGTGGGGACCAGAGGCCATGAGCTGGTCAGTAAGAGCTGGGGGCTCAGGGAAGGGTACCAAGAGGCTATGTGTGTCTCACCTTCCCCTAATACCCTCTCTCCAGTCCTCATAGGGGTCTTTCTCAATGCTGCTAAAGAGAAAGAAATAATGGAATCTTAGGGTTGAAAAAGGGGGGGTGATCAGAGGTACAGGATGTGAAACTGAAAAGTATGCAGATTTTTTTTACTACAAAATTCCATGTTCAGGAGCAAGACTATTGCCAGAAGAGGGTAGAGGCCAAAGCCATCAACCCAAAGGGTTGTTAATGGTATGCAGGAGTCTCTTGATTTTATTTTTTATTTTTTTAATTTTAATTTTTTTTTGTTATGTTCAGTTAGCCAGCACAGAGTACATCATAAGTTTTTGTTGTAGTGTTCAATGATTCTTTAGTTGAGTATCTCACCCAGTGCTCATCCCAACACATGCCCTCCTCAATACCCATCACCCGGTTATCCCATCCCCCCACCCCCTCCCTTCTGTAACCCTCAGTTTGTTTCCCAGAGTCCAGAGTCTCTCATGGTTCGTCTCCCTCTCTGATTTCTCCCCCTTCAGTTTTGCCGCCCTTCCCCTATGGTCTTTTGTGCTATTCCTTATGTTCCACATATGAGTGAAACCATGTGATAATTTCCTTTCTCTGCTTGACTTATTTCACTTAGCATAATCCCCTCCAGTTCCATCCATGCCGATGCAAATGGTGGGTATTCATCCTTTCTGATGGCTGAGTAATATTCCATTGTATATATGGACCACATCTTCTTTATCCATTCATCTGTTGAAGGACATCTCGGCTCCTTCCACAGTTTGGCTCTTGTGGACATTGCTGCTATGAACATTGGGGTGCATGTGCCCCCTCTTTTCACTCTTGATTTTAAAAGTGTCTCTGACAGCGTCTCAGGCCTCCTGCGATGGAGATGGAGAGCACAGGGGGAGAAAGTACCTGCCTTCTGCTCTAGCAGCCTAAGGGTGTGTGGATGTGTTTGCTTTCCTGCCAGTGTGGGCTTCCTGTCCTCATGAGCTGCAGGCTCCTGGCTCCTCATCCTTAGTTCTGGGGTGTTAGGAAGAGGACTTGAGTCAGAATTTCACTTGTGTCAGGGTCCACTTGCCAGAGAGACAGGCATAGCCTGATAAGCAACCTCTCGCAGCCAAATGGCCTTGGAGATCTGAAGGCTTTGCTTCTCCCTTTGAATGAAGGGTCCTTGGTCCAGAGGCCTGGGGGCCCAAGGTACAACTGGGCACTGACTGGAACCAGTATAAGAGGAGGTGGGGGGCTGGGAACCCTTGGCGGGGGGCTTCAGTTTCTTCCTCTGTAAAATGAGAGATTGAACTAGATGGCCTTTGAAGTTCCATTTAACATCAAAAATGGATGATACATGAATAATTCTGAGGTTGGAGCCCAATCAGGTCTTGACTTCTTAGCCTTCTTAGCAGGGACACCATTCTGATGGTGTGAGGAAGAAGTGGTTCTCAGCCCTAGTGGTTCTCACTGCTCCCCAGACCAGATCCAGACCAGACCCAAACCAAGGGATTTGCTTTTCAGGCTGTGCAGGTGACCCCAGTGTGCAGCCAGGACTGAGAACCACAGGGTTAGAAGGTGGAGAGAACAGGAACTGCACTTCCCCAGAAACCCCTGAATCTGTCGAGCTGCCACCTCCTGAGATAGTCCTAAAATTGAAGGTGTCCGTGAACTTCATCTGCAAATGATACATCTTATGTGCCCCTCTGGCAGGATCAGTTCGCAGAGCAACCTCTCTTAATTCATTAAAACTGAGATGTGAACTTTCCCAACTTGTTTGAATATGGTCTTTATCTAGGAATGCCTTAACACTATCGTATTACTGATCTGAGGCACATAAAATGAGAAACCCGGGGTTAGAAATATAAAGCTAAAAAGTCTGGAATCCTTAGATGTCTTTTTGCAAAAGTGAACACTGAGCTGCAGGACCTGTGAGGGTATTTTTGATCATCCTGCGGGGGTGGGGGGGCATGTGGGTCTCTGACAGGGCTTGGTGTGTGTATTTCTGAAGCTAAGATTGGGACACTTGCCACCTTTCCTTATAATCATGGCAGGAGACCTGGTGTGTGCCAAGACTCAGAACTCAGATGAAGAACCAGGGTGGCTCAGTCGGTTAAGTGTCTGCCTATGGTTTGGATCATGATCCGAGGGTCCTGGGATTGAGCCCATGTGGGTCTCCTTGCTCAGCTGGGAGCCATCTTCTCCCTCTCCTTCTGTCCCTCCCTCCTGCTCATTCTCTCTCTCTCTCCCCCAAATAAATAAATAAAAATCTTTTAAAAAAAGAATATTGATAGAAGAAGTTAAGACTATTATTGCCAACTTTAAAAAGTTTTCTTCCTGATCCTATATTTGGCCATACTGCCAACTTCTATAGGTAACCATGGGTATCATTTTGGCATATTTCCTACTCTCTTTGAGTATTATTTTAAAGAGTTGGGATTATGCTGAACATACAGTTTTATAGTCTGATTTGTTTTACTTCACTTTTTGTCAAAGCATGTTCCATGTCTGCATCTCCAAAAAATATTCATAGTCATACTTTTAATGCTCAGTACCATGATTTTGATAATCATTTCTCTGCTTGTGGACTTTAGGTGGTTCCCACTTGGGAGCTGTTTTCAGTGGCATGTGGCCGGCTTCTGATTATCCATGGAAATGGGGATCTGAGTGCCTGGCTAAGTGGAAATCAGACAAGCTCACCAGAACAAATTGCTTCAGCCTCTTTATAAAAGATTTTACTGCAATTACCTTCGAAGGCCCAGAGTGTGAATGTGGGAGGGGTTTCCTCTTGTCTGTCTTCACTCTTTGCTGGGGGCATGTCACCAGACAGGCAGCCATGCAGGGAAGGGGATCTCAGGAGGACCCACTAATGGGTCAGTTATTCTCAAAAGAACCAAGAGCTATATTCCCTGATGGTTAAGACAGAGAGGAATCTTCAGGAAAAGGAGCTGAAATCAGAGAAGGGATGTGACCTTTTCAAGGTTACTCAGAGCTGGGTTAGAGCCCAGGTTTCCTAAATCTTCCCCCTGCCGCATACAGGTCGCATCACAGATACCATAGCCTCCTTATATACTTGAGCATTTGGTACAGCTTGGAGTGGCGAAGGAAAGGCACGGGGTTTGAAATCAGAAGAAGGTTTGTGTGAGACTAGGCTACCACATGGCTCTGGGTAGGCACTCCAGTGCTCTGAGCTTTGGAACCCTCTGTAACATGGGGTTATAATAATGGACTATTATAAGGAGCAAATGCAATCATGGAGGTGAAAATACTTGGTGCCCCAAAGGTGCTGTAAGAATGGGGGCTTTACAGAAGACCCACCAAATAGGTTTTCTTTTTGTCAGAACTTAAAACGAATCATAAGGAATTCACTGATGCATTTTCATTCACTACCAGTCAAGGGGTTGTGGGGGAGCGGGGGGCTTCTGGGACTCTCCTCTAAGTATGGGTCATATGCAGACAGATTCTATTCTAAAACAGTTGTCTTGCTCCTTTAAATCTTTCTTCTCACCAGTTGGGAAATGCCCTGAAGGAGATGTTTGCCCAGTTTGTGTGCTCTGGCCCTCCTTGCTGAACACTGGATGAGAATGCAGCCCCCACTCAGTCACAGGCCCCTGAGGTCTAATGCTGGCGTGCTCCAGCCAATCACCTTGCCCAAGTTTCTTAGGCTCAGCTGAAGAAAAGAGGTTCAACTGGTTTTGAAATCAGAACTGGGAACCATGACATCCAGCCCTTGGAACCCATGGGGAATTTGATACCCTTTCTCTTGTGGGCACCCCCTTGACCTGCTGCATGCATGAGCCAGGCTTTGCACAGGGCTGGCCAGGGAGCAGAGGGTTTTAAATAATCTGCTGGCCCCAACCAGCCCAAGCAGAGGTTGGTTCAAAAAGCAGTGGGTAGGGAGTGAGGGTGGAGAATAGGCCTCACAAAGAAATGAGTTTCTTAGCTGTTTCAGGGGCTAGTAAAAGAAACGTGCTTCAGATGGGCCCTGACAGCCCCCTCAGAATAGACCCGGGAGACGCAGCCCTCCCTCCCCACCCAGGGTACCTTGAGGCCCAGTTTCTTGTTTAGGCATTTG